TAGAACAAAGCTAAATAAATTTTAGAATAAATAACAACAAAATCGAATTAGATAGAAAGAAAAAGAATAATTGAATTTTAAACTATTGAAAAGAGAAAAGCAAAAACGAGACATAAAATCAATTATGTAAATCAAAAGACTGTTAGTGTCAAACCAAAACTAAGTAGGCATGTATTAAGTAGAATGAAATAATATTAAATTTTACATTAATTAGAAAGTACAGTTTGAAAATATCAGACCGTTTATTTAAAAAAAAAAACAGTATTCTAAATATGAAAGGAAAAACCATTAGAAATAAAAAAATAAGATTTTAATAAAAAAAAAAGAAAATATATACTCTTACCTCTGGTGAATCAAAAGGGTACTTATTACTAAATTTAAACTGCAACTGAAATTTTTCTCCCTCATATAGGGTTCCTTGTACCCCTTCCATGTAAATAATCCATCTGATAAGGAAAAAAGGGGGCACATTTTAGTAACAATATACATATTGCTACAATAACCAAGTGCTAATGATAATTCAAACGTTTATAAATATTTATGAGAGCATATGGAAGTCAGTCAACAAAAGACACAATAAACAATTACTTACTGAAGCAAATTTTTTTCTGCCAGCTCTGCATCAACTGTTACCCCTGGTGGTGGTTCTTTTAATAAAGACATTAGTTCTTTCTGAAGTCTCCTCTGCAACAAACAATCACACTTAAAACACTTTTAATTATAAAACAACTTGCAAAAATACAAGGTTACAATTACAATTTATTTAATATGTCTCGTAAATTTCTGAATTATTAGTAGAGATTATTCAACAGAAAGGCACATTTGTGAATTAATTTACCTCAGATGGAGACATCCCTGACATATCTTATTGTTTTTCTCTTGTATAAAACATGTCAATAATTTTTTCATCTGTCAATTGATTCAATGTCACATTTCAATTCCCATTGAAATCCTAAAAATCCATAACCACATAAAATGAGACATCTGTTGACAAAAGAAACAAATACATAAGAATTTAAAAAGGGGCGCCAGACATGATGAATTTGTACTGGGTTAAACAGAGCTTTTATTTTTCCTGCAAGTTACGTTTATTCTGCCATATTTAAATG